ATTATATTATAATATACTTACCAGTTCCTTCCATGATTTATTGCTAATATCAAATATCCAAATATCATGAGCATCATATCCACCCACCACTAGTAGGTGTGGTCCTGAGCTAGTGTTAATCAATACACTAGAATGAGCACGTCTTTCCTTAGGCCATTGTACTGATCTTCCAGGATTAGATAACTTTGAACAATTCTAAAATAATAAAATTAAATTTAATTATCATAAACCACACCCACACACTCAGTGTAATGAATAATAATACACACATACAATACATTATTAATTAATAATTAATGTAATTATACTAATAATACACTCACCACTGATGTATCAGTAAAATTAAGAATATATACATCGCTACTGACTCCATTAGCAGTGTCACCTCCAAATAATATAGCACTGGAATTATTAATTGATGTTAAAGTGAAGACGTAAATAGGAGGTGGTCTGTCTCCAGTGACAGTCGGTGATATCCATTGTCCTAAAAATATCAATAATAATAATTAGTGTGAATGGAATGCATTGGGTGGAGCAAACTAGTTGATATTTCTTTGATCGTATTATCAAATAATTAGGAGTGACAACCATGAACAAACAAGCAAGCAATTCTCAATGCAACCAGTCTGAGTGGAGAACCACCAAATAACAATACTTCATTATATTAATATAAACTGTATGTGCTCTGACCTGTTGAGAGTTTATAGAAATGGATCTCATTACATTGTTGAGATACTTTAAATCCTTTACCACTGTACTGGGCACCAGGTTGCTTGGATGAATTATTAGAAGCTGATCCAAACCCTCCGATTACTACAAGATAGTCCTCACCGTTCACTTTTATTGCTATCATGTCACAGTAGTGCTTCATCATAGGACCACGACGAGATGTAGTAGGTGAGAGTTCCTTCCAGTTGAAGGTATCAACATTAAAACTGTATAAAATATTATATAATATTTATATATCAGTAACTATTATGTTTACCTGTATAAACTATTATGATAACAGCCAAGATGACCACAATCGCCTCCGAAATAAAATATTTCCCTTCCAATGGCAGCAGCTGCATAGCTCTTAACACCCAGTGGAGGGTTACCAGTGGTGGGTTTCTGCTCCCACCTACCAGTCCTTAGGTGACACACCTCCATCACAGAACACATTGATTTCTTCTTTTCATTATCATGTACTTCAGGGAGACCAAACTGCCACCCACCCCACATGTACAGGTAGTCTCCTACCCGTACAGTGGAGTGTCCACTCCTCTCCACTGGCTGATAGTCTATAGATAACAAGAGGTAACAGTAACTGAATGATACACTAATAGTAACAACACACGAGTCATAGTCAAGTATAAACAAAATACTGACCTGGTGCATGTGGTGCTTTGGCTGCCATTTGTTTGGAAACTTTGGAGGTAACGCCCTTATTTTATTTCAAATTATTCGCGCCCTTCTAGCTATGACGCATAAAAAAATTTTTGTTACGTCATCATATCAATGTGCAAAAACTTGTTCAAGTGCATGTACATGTATTAATACAATTATTATTTTTTAAGTCAATGAAAGAATGATTGAATTGTAATACATGTAATTATGTACATACATTAATTAACAGCATTCTGTAGTTATGATACAAGTAAGTTAACACAATTAATCAGTAATCATCATTATTATTGTTGTTATTTTTATTATAATAATATTGTTCCTTCAGTGTCTTTTTGTAGTATAATATCAACAGCAAGTACAGCCATTGTGGTAGACCTGATCACATCTCTATCCATTACATTCCTATCATTGGTTCCTCTGAACTGTATGTGACCATTAAACAGTCTGTATCCACAATACTCAAGTACTGGACGAAGAGCAGGATCAGCCCATGCTCCTTTATCACAGAAACTGTGGAGACAGAACCCATCTGGAGTGCATTTAAACTGTACATGTATTGAGGAATAGAGTATTATTAGTTATTATTAGTTATTATTAGTATGCTCTACTTGTCTTAGTAGCTCTTGTCTTTGTCTTGATGATAGAGCAACTGCTTTAGTTAACATACCAACATTG